GGCTGGGGGGGGGGGGGCGCAATGTTGACACCCAGTGTGCACCACAGAACACTGCCGCCAAGCATGGCTCCTTGATCAGTGCACTGGCGCAATGCCGTGCGCACAGTCATTTGGCACATCTTCATTTTACATTTAAGGGAAACAGGATACAAATGTCAAAGAAACCCTGGGATGTGCACAAATGGACCACGGTGCTGCGGGGATGCTGGAAAGAAAAAATCCGGTTCCCGACAGCATCGAACCTGGGGCAACCAAGACATGTGGACATCTCCCTGTTTCCACCACTCCTAATTCACTGCTACTTCCTGATCACGTCTCCCCCCCCCTCCCCAACCTGCCCCCCCCCCAATCCATACAAGCAGCAGAAAGTCCACAGTGTTCCCTGATGGGTCCAAAACTGTACCTTGAAGTCTGTGTTGTTTACGTGTTCAAAAACCAAGGCCGGAGTCCGAGACTAGAAAAAGGAAGGGGAAAAAGTTCTTGTGTCAGCTCCGCGCTGCAGTCTTTAATACTTTAATGCTTACAGGCCCACTGTAGACCTATCTATAAAGGTAAAGGTTTCCCTTGCTCGAAAGCCAGTCGAGTCCGACTCTAGGGTTGCGGTGCTCATCTCCATTTCAAAGCCGAAGAGCCAGCGCTGTCCGAAGACGTTTCCGTGGTCATGTGGCCAGCATGACTAAACACCAAGGCGCACGGAACGCTGTTCCCTTCCCACCAAAGTGGTACCTATTTATCTACTTGCAGTTTCTTGTTTTCCAACTGCTAGGTTGGCAGGCGCTGGAACTAGAGACGGGAGCTCACTCCGTCATGCGGCACACCCGGGTCTCGAACTGCTGAACTACTGACCTTCCACAGCCTGCAGTTCAGCGTCTTAACTACTTGAGCCACCGCAGCTCCCGGACCTATGTATACCCCCCCCCTCATATTTATGATCCTCCCCTGAGGACGTCGGTAGCCCCCACACTCATCTAGCTTTTGTTGGACACATTGGCATGAAATTCTATGAAGCCTAGGAGAGCCGGATGGCCCAGGCTAGCCTGATAACATCAGATCTCGGAAGCTAAGCAGGGTCGGCCCTGGTTAGTACTTGGATGGGAGACCGCCAGGGAAGCCCGGGATGGCTACACGGAAGCAGGAAATGGCAAACCGCCTCTATTCACCTGCCTTGCCCTGGATGGCTCAGACGAATGTGATCTCGTCAGATCTAAGAAAGGCTGGCCGTTGTTAGTACTTTGATGGGAGACCACCAAGGAAGTTGCAGGCAATAGCAGTCCAGTTTGGTGCAGTGGACTCTAATCTGGGAGAACTGGGTTTGATTCCCCCACTCCTCCACATGCAGCTGCTGGTGTGACCTTGGGTCAGTCACAAGTTTTTCCAGAGCTGTTCTCTCAGGGGCAGTTCTCTCAGAGCTCTCTCAGCCCCGCCTACCTCACCGTGTGTATGTTGTGGGGAGGGGGAGGGAAATGAGATGGTAAGCCGCTCTGAGACTCTGAGTGAAGGGCAGGGTATAAATAACTAACTAAGAAGAAGAAGAAGAAGAAGAAGAAGAGGAGATTGGATTTATACCCCGCCCTTCACTACCCAAAGGAGTCTCAGAGTGGCTTACAAACCCCCTCCCCCCCCCCTACCCACAACAGACACCCTGCGAGGAAGGTGGGGCTGAGAGAGCCCTTGACAGAAACTGCTCTTTTTCAAGGACAGCTCTTGTCAGAACTACGGCTTGCCCAAGGTCATCCAGCCGGGTGCAAGTGGAGGAGTGGGGAATCAAACCCGGTTCTCCTTTATTAGAGTCCGCACACTTAGCCACTACACCAAACTGTCTCTAACTAGAGATGTAAAATTTCCGGAAATTTTGAAGCTCGGAAAAAAACCCGGTTTTTTTCCAGGTTTTTTTTTGGGGGAAATGGAAATTTTCGGAAAAATTGAAAAAAATGCTACATTAGCATTTCTTTTGTCTTTTCTAGATTGAAAGTCATTCTGTTACTTTAGGAACATAAAATATGACTATGGACATTTTTACTTGGCATGAAATTATCACAACTAACATATTAAAAATAGAGTGTATCCAAACAATTATTACAAACAGAATACCCACCCACATGCAAAAACAAAACTGAAACCTTTTTATTTTCTTCTGACAATAGCACTTCCTAAAGGAAGAAATGCATCTTGTTCTTGCATTGGAGAGTTCAGTTTGTAACCTAGGACTTGCTTGTCCTCAATGCACAGAAATTAGATCAATCTGATACCATATATATAAAAGAAATGATTTGGAAAATATTTGAACACCTTGTCTTAAAATATTTTATTCATCATGTTAAAATAAAACGTTTCATAATCAATTTTTTATCTTTTCTTTTTTCAATTTTTCCAATTTTTCAGAAAAAAAAAAGGCTTCAGGAAAAAAACGGGGAAAAAACAGGTTTTCCCCGAATTTTTCCGTTTTTTTTTCTGGGCCTTCACATCTCTAGCTCTAACTAACTTCAAACTCTGTTGGCCTGCCCTGGATTGCCCAAGCATACGTGACCTTATCAGATCTTTGAGCAGCGGCTGGACAAACACTTGTCAGAGATGCTGTAGGCTGATCCTGCATTGAGCAGGGGGTTGGAGAAGATGTCCTCTAGGGCCCCTTCCAATTCTGCGATTCTATGATCTCAGAAGCTAAGGAAGGCTGGCTGTTGTTAGGACTTGGGTGGGAGACCACCAAGGAAGTCCAGGGTTGTGACGCAGAGGCAGGCGATGGCAAACCACCTCTGTTAGTCTCTTGCTCTGAAAACCCTACAGGGTCACCGTAAGTCGACTGAGACTTGATGGCACTCCTTCCCCCCCCCACTCTGGGACCTGAAAAAAGGCAGGAGAGAAGTTCCTCTGGGTGATGCTCATTAAAAAGCCTACTCTAAGCAATTCACAAAACAGGGCAGAGAAGAGACAGAACCAGGAGCGAGCTCAGGCGCTGCATCCTGTGATCGACAAGTGCCCGAAACACCACCCTGCGTTCCGTCCTTAGACTGCTAGGAACTCCGCTTGCTGTGCCATTGCTTGAAGAGATTGTTGCCATTGGTAACCCACTTCGGCTGCTTCTCAGTGACGGAAAGCACCAGCGTTCCCTCTAAGCTGAGTGAGTGTGAGCCAGCTCACAGCCTTTTAGCCTCCGGCGCACATTCCTGCCTTAGCTCGGGAAGGAGGGCTCCGGAGCAAACTGATTTAAAGGTAAAGGTAAAGGTTCCCTTGCTTGAAAGCCAGTCGAGTCCGACTCTAGGGTTGCGGTGCTCCTCTCCGTTTCAAAGCCGAAGAGCCAGCGCTGTCCGAAGACGTTTCCGTGGTCATGTGGCCGGCATGACTAAACACCAAGGCGCACGGAACGCTGTTACCTTCCCACCGAAGTGGTCCCCATTTATCTACTTGCAATTTCTTGCTTTCGAACTGCTAGGTTGGCAGGAGCTGGAACTAGAGACGGGAGCTCACTCCATCATGCGGCACACTCGGGTCTCGAACTGCTGAACTACTGACCTTCCACAGCCTGCAGTTCAGCGTCTTAACCACTTGAGCCACCGCAGCTCCATAAACTGATTTAGGCAGCAGCCAAATCGCCCGCTCGCGACTTTAATGCCAGGCACTCACAAAGTAGGATTTTTGCTCACAAGAGCCCACAGCTTAGAGGGAGCACTGGAAAGCACCCTCCTGTTCTGTCCAGCAAGGAGCTGTTTTGAGCATCGCATGTCCGCGAGCCCCTATGCCCGGCTAAGGAACGCCCACTAAGGTCAGGACCACCCGTCCCTCTCTGCAGACTCCACAATCTCTGACAATGTACAGCCATAGACTGTCCTGTCAGGAGGCAGTCCCCGAGGAGTGAAGCTGGCCCAAACCAGGGCTAGGGCATTTTCGGTGGCGGCTCCCACCTGGTGGAACGAGCTCCCGGAGGAGATCCGGGCCCTGCGGGACCTGGTGCAGTTCCACAGGGCCTGCAAGACAGAGCTCTTCCGCCAGGCCTTTGAGCTGCCGCCACTAGTCCACCAGTGAGATTCCAACCATCTACCCCATATGGTAGAGGTAGATGTCGCCCAACAGAGCCGGGGAATCACCTCTCCTGGCGCTCATGCTGTGAAGAACTTGGCCGCCAGTGTGCGACGTCGCGCATCTTGGTTTTTATGTAAATTATTAGAGCGCCATATTTCATGTAGGATACATTGTTTTATTATGCTGTTTGTTTGTATGCATATTTTAGCCTCGGCATGGCCGTCTGTTAGCCGCCCTGAACTGTTGGATAGGGCGGGATATAAATCCCAAAAATAAAAAAATAAAAATAATAATAATAATATTATTTAAAAAACCCACCCTCCTGGAAATAAGGAGGGGCTTTGGTTTCAAATGTAGTGCTTCGTGCAGAGGACACAGCACACACAGAAAAACACCTGGGTCAGAGGAGCGCGTAAAGCTGTCCTGAGACACCCTGCCTCTCCCTCACCGTGTCAAAAGCCCTCTCCTGCGAAGGAAAGTGTGCAGGCCCAACCCCAAGGACTTTGAAAGCAATTCTGTCGGCATCGTTCCGCCTACTTCCTGACACTTAGACCAGCTCCTCAGTGGGACAGGCTTCCTCGGGAGGTGGTGGGCTCTCCTTCTTGGGAGGTTTTCAAGCAGAGGCTCGATGGCCATCTGACGGCAATGCTGATTCTGTGAACTCAGGCAGATCGTGAGAGGGAGGGCAGGAAAGGTTGCCTCAGTGCTGAGTTCTCATGGACCTTTCTTACACGCCCAGGGAAATGCTGATCGTCACTTTGGGGTCTGGAAGCAATTTTTCTCCTGGCCAATTTGGCCAGGGATCCTGGAGGGGTGTTTTTGGTCATCTTCTGGGCATGGAACAGGGGTCACTGTGGGTGTGGAGGTATTTGTGAATTCCCTGCATTGTGCAGGGGTTTGGACTAGATGACCCCGGAGGCCCCTTCCAACCCTATGATTCTACGATTCTACTTCCCATTTCCGAGCAAAACGATATGCTTCCCAGACTGCAAGATTTAATAGCCACCATGGAAAATATTAAGGCACAGAAAACTCAGGACAATGAAAGGGACCCTTTATACGCTAAGGGACAGCCGTTGGACTAGCCCACAAAAACTCACTTCATACGAAGCTCCTGGCACTTGGAGCCCCTTTGGGTCAAACGGTCTTTCCTATTGAGACCCGGCTGGAGGTAGAGAAAGAAAACTCTGCCACCTCTAAAGGCGAGAACGGCTGACTAGATAAACAGAAAGGTGTGCTTTCTTTTTTGGAATATGGCCGGATGGAATAGCAAATGTATTGAAAGGCAGGGTGGCAAAGTGGTTAGTGCTGGAGATCCCAGGCAGTTCATCTGAAGAAGGTGTCGTCTAAATGGGACTATAAAGATTTTCCTCCTTTTTTGATTATTCATATTTCTCTGGTTTTATGGATTTATTCTTAAATAAGATTTTGCTGGGATGTAACGAAGGCCTGTTATATAGAAGGCCTCTCTTTCTTTGTAGGTCAGGGTATTTTCCCAGCTGATGTTAACAGACAAGACAATCGCATTCTTTTGGTACAGAAGAAGGTAGAAGGTTCATGGTTGTAATTGTTTAGGTTATTACTTCACAGTGTCTGGGTCAAAAAGGATTTTTAACTTGGTATCAGAGAAAAAACGCCTTTGTTTGGGTGAGAACAAGCCTTGGTTGATACGACTCAGGTCAGGTCAAACAAATACGTGACGCTATTGTATAGACACACATTTCTTACATTTGACCAATAAGGAGATTTTCATTTAAATGTTGTTTAATTTCTTGTAACCAATTATGCTTTCTGAATATTATTTTCATGATGACGGTATGATGATGTCATATTCAGTATTTATCCATGTATTTCCTGGTTGAGCTCAGAAAGCCGTCAATTTTGATGGGTCATTTGGATACCAATTTGTATAACAAAGGGAAGCTGAACTCTGAACACGCTGCTCTGAACTCTTCAGAGGGAATTAAAAGTTACTGGACGGATATCCAAGGCCCGGCGGCTTTCTCAGCATCTGATAGGGATGGCAAGGATTGCCTTGGTGAACCAGACTAAGGCCTGTCTGCTCCAATATTGTGTTTCCAACAGCAGGACGCCCGATGGCCTCGGAAAGATCAGAGGCAAGGCACGGCTGCTGCGGGTCCCCAGCCCCACTCACCCCTGCGTCTGCTACTCAAGAGGTAGAACTCAGGCCCATAGCTACGGTGGGGCATTTCGGGGCTCTGCCCCCTCAAATGTGAGGCACGCCCCATGACAGGTTTCCCTTTAAATTTTTTTTTTCTAGCGGGCCAAAAACAAAAGGGAAACTACACAGTAAGAAACGGTCAACACAGAAGAAACTGTAATGGAGACATCGCGTTGTGCTACATTCTTCATTTCAGCATTGACTGAGTTTCTGTATATTTACTTTGGACTTCCATTTTGATTTCTGATTCACTTGCAATTGTGGGTTATTAGTAGGGGTGTGCAAAAAAAAAAAAAATTGGCCGGATTTGGATTCAGCCAAATTGGGCAGCATCAATTTTGGCTCGCAGAAAGACTCCCGCATGTCAATTTCGGCAGTACCAGCCAACTAGGGAGTCTTTTGACCAGCCGAATGTCAATTTCGGCCCCATTATATTCTATGGGCCTTTGAAGACAATGGCGAAAACATAGCGTATATTCTGGGGGCTGAAGGGGAGGGGGTTTGAGGGAGAGGCTCCAAACTCGCAGGGTAGCTGTTGGAGCCTCTCCCCAAGATACCCACCAAGTTTCAAGAACATTCCAGGGGTCCAATTCTATGGGCCCCCAAACAGGTTGCCCCTATCCCCTCCATTGTTCTCTATGGTGGGAAAAAAGTTACTTTACTGAATTGGCCCGCAGCAGCCCGAAAGGGGCCCGAATGGGCCATTTTCGGGGGTGCATTCAGTTCGGATGAACTGAATGCACATCCCTAGTTATTAGTGATTGAAGTGGGGATCCTTTGGAGGTTTGATATATTTTTGTTGGAGATGTTTTCAGTATGATATGAAATGTATATAAATTTACATGTTTGAGCTGCGGTTTACATGTAGGAGCTGCGGTGGCTCAAGTGGTTAAGACGCTGAACTGCAGGCTGTGGACGGTCGGTAGTTCAGCAGTTCGAGACCTGAGTGTGCCGCATGATGGAGTGAGCTCCCGTCTCTAGTTCCAGCTCTTGCCAACCTAGCAGTTCGAAAGTAAGAAATTGCAAGTCGATAAATAGGTACCACTTCAGTGGGAAGGGAACAGCGTTCCGTGCGCCTTGGCGTTTAGTCATGCCGGCCACATGACCACGGAAATGTCTTCGGACACCGCTGGCTCTTCGGCTCTGAAATGGAGATGAGCACCGCAACCCTAGAGTCGGATTCGACTGGCTTTCGAGCAAGGGAAAGCTTTACCTTTACTTTTTTTACACGTTTGAGGTGCGTCTGCTACTCCATTACACAGTTTCTTTCGTGTTGACATTTTTCTAGCGGGGGGCTGACCGGCGAAATCACCACTTGGGAGTTCAGGGAAGGTGTGCGGCCGCCCCTTTCCCTCCCGCCCCACAAAATTTCCTCGTGCCCCGTCAACCCAACCTCATCAACTTCATTTGGCTATGGGGCTGGGTAGACTGCATCTGGACAAGGAGGTTCCATTTTCCCATCACAGCTCATCGCCACTGACAGATCACAGTCCTATGAAATGCATGCAATTCTCCGGAGCTGAACGGGACGTCTCCTCACCTCCCGCCCCTTCCCCAAGTCAATTCCTCCTCCCCCACTCACCACCGGGTCTTTCACTATATCGGCCAGGGTGATGATGTTCGGACCGCCTCGCAAGTTCTCCAAGATTTTGATTTCACGCTTGATTTTCTTCTTTTTCACAGGCTGGCAAAGGGAAAAGGGGAGGTTAGAGACAGCGGCATCCTGAGCTTCAGGGGAAATCGATGGGAACACTGTAGCTTACAGCATCAGCTGCGACTGATTGTTACTGAGGGCCAACAACAGGGCAGAGAGGCCGAGGCCTTCCCCTGATGTTGCCTCCTGACCAGGGGTCATTTCGTAGAAAAAGAGGTGTGGGAGCTCATTAGCATAATGTATTTGCATATGCCACACCCCCTGACATCACCGGAAGTGTGGCAGAAAGCCACACCCATCGCTCAGGCTCCACTGGACTGTTTTGGATCGCTAGCTATCGGGTGGGGGAACGTGCAGATCTGTCCTCACAGAGGAGGGAGAGCTTGTACCTGAATAAAACTTGGTCTTAAAGGTGCCACTGGACTGTTTTGAGCCTGGGGGGGCCGGGGGGGGGGTTTCTGCAGCTTACCTGGCTGCTTCTTGCTCTGACTGAGGGCTGCTGGGAGCAGGGGGTGGGGCTTGTTGCTTGTGCCCACCCCCTGGGCTCTTTACTGCCGGAGCTCTGCTCCTGTGCACTCCTGCAGGAAATGACCCCTGCTCCTGACACTGGGATTCAGAGGCTCAGTGCCCTTGAATGTGGAGCTTCCCCTCCACCACCATGGCTAGTAGCTTTTGATAGACTTATCCTCCATGAATCTATCTAACCCCCTTTTAAAGCAGTATCTTCCTGCGGCCATCACAACATCCTCAGGCGGCGAATGTCACATTTTAATCACTCTGTGCGAAGAAGAAGAAGAAGAAGAAGAGGAGGAGGAGATTGGATTCATACCCCGCCCTTCACTACCCAAAGGAGTCTCAGAGCGGCTTACAAACTCCTTTCCCTTCCCCTCCCCACAACAGACACCCTGGGAGGTAGGTGGGGCTGAGAGAGCTCTGACAGAAACGGCTCTTTTTCAAGAACAGCTGTGCCAGAACTATGGCTTGCCCAAGGTCATCCAGCAGGTGCAAGTGGAGGAGTGGGGAAATCAAACCCGGTTCTGCCAGAGTCCGCAAACTTAACCACGACACTACACCAAACGAAGCAGTATTTCCTTTTGTCTCTCCTGAACCTACTGCCCATCAGCTTCACGGGATGCCCCTGAGTTCCAGTCCTTTGGGAGAGGGCAAAAAAACTGTCAACTCTCTCCACATGCTCCCTCAGATGGCCAGTCGAGATTGCCACAAATGTGCACTGAGGCCATGACTGGTGGCAGCTGTTGTAACTGGGGGATATTACGATAATCCACCTACTACTCTATCTGCCTTCCTCTGGGTAGGACCGGAAGCTGAAACCCCCGCACTGAGCCCCACGCATCTGTCATAGTGAGCTGTCTGCAATCTAGACTCCCCAGACACTGGCATACGACCGCCCCACCCAATTCTGTTAGTGTACACTGGCAATGAAAATTGCCGATGCTTCTCCAGATGGTGTCTGAGGACAGCAACAGCCCCGCCCGTTCATTCTGCTGTTTTTCAAAAGTTTCACTGAAGACTCTTTTAATTATTTATTAACATTCTTTATAATCCACCTTTCTCACTTGGACTTAAGGGGGATTACAGAGGGTGAGCAGTGTTCCCTCTAAGCTGAGTTAGTGTGAGCTAGCTCACAGTTTTTTAGCCTCCGACTCACACATTTTTGTCTTTGCTCAGGAAGGAGGGCTCCAGAGCAAGCTAATTTGTGCAGTAGTTCCCTCTAAGCTGAGTTAGTGTGAGCTAACTCACAGTTTTTTAGCCTCCGACTCACACATTTTTGTCTTCGCTCAGGAAGGAGGGCTCCAGAGCAATCTAATTTGTGCAGTAGTTCCCTCTAAGCTGAGTTAGTGTGAGCTAGCTCACAGTTTTTTAGCCTCCGACTCACACATTTTTGTTTTCGCTCAGGAAGGAGGGCTCCAGAGCAAACTAATTTATGCAGCAGCCAAATCGCTCGCTCACCACTTTAATGCCGGTAGGTCACAGAGTAGAATCTTTGCTCACGAGACTCCACAGCTTAGAGGGAACATCGGGCGAGTCAATACAATGAACAAGAGGGGGACATTCAACCAAAAAAATGCAATAGGGTTAGGGGCAATGCTCCCTCTAAGCTGTGGAGTCTCGTGAGCAAAAATCCTACCTTATGAGCAACTGGCGTTAAAGGTGTGAGCGAGCGATTTGGCTACTGCATAAATCAGTTTTCTCTGGAGCCACCCTTCCTGAGCCAAGAGAAAAATGTGTGAGCCGGAGGGTAAAAAACTGTGAGCTAGCTCACACTAACTCAGCTTAGAGGGAACACTGGTTAGGGTTGTAGAACCCACCGGAAATCGAGAAACAGAACAGGAGCAAAGCATAGGAATTAACACATGACATGACATGATAACAAAAATTGCCAAGTACGATACTGCTTACAGCAGGGGTGTCAAACATAAGGCCCAGGGGCCAGAACCGGCCGATCCAGGGCTGCTATGTGGCCCGCGAGCAACCGGTGCAAGGGAGGGAACAGGAGGCTGCTTGGGGGAGGGGGGTTTCAACACAGCAGAACAACTTCATCCAGGGGTCTTGTTGTAGAAAAAGAGCTGCCGGAGCTCATTAGCATAACTCATTAGCATAACTTATTTGCATATGCCACGCCCCCTGACATCACCGGAAGTGACAGAAGGCCACACCCCCTGACATCACCGGAAGTGTGTCAGAAGGCCCGGCTACTTACCCTCCTGCTTCATCCTCATTCCCAAACGGAATGAGGATCGAAGCAGAGGGCGGGGTAAAGAAGGGGGCGGGGCTTCACCACGTGACCGCCCCGCCCCCTAGAGGTTCTCTTCCGGAGCTCCGTACCTGAGAGCTCCCCCCCGACTAGAGCCCTGACTTCATCTGCAGTAGTCAAGCTTCACTTCAGGGACAGCCTCAACGGTACGTTGGGAGCCAATGCAGCCACATTCATACCTCTCCACTCGGCCTGCAGCTCTGGGGATGCTGTCCCAGATGGACTCAGGGATCGGCGTTTGCGCGTGCAGGGGAGGTGTCGCAGGTGATCCTCTGCTGGGGTCTCGGAGTGTCGGCCCAGTTCTGCACTGCTGAGTCTCCAGTCTGCCCATGTGGATTTTCCCCCGCATCTCCCCCCCCACCCCCTTGCAGTGAGGTCTCACCAACTCGGAGTTTACCAGTTGCTGTCCTTTATAAAGTTTATATCTCTGGCACCTGGCATTACCTTTTATGGCACACCATGGCCTGGCCCAACAAAGTATAAACAGAAAAACAAGGAAGCTGCCAAACAAAGCGCTACAATGCATATATAGCGACACATAAGAATATGACAATGTAACACGATGGGTAAGTATTATACAAAAAGTCTTTGTTAAGAAGTCACAAGAAGACGTAGAAGAGTTTTGATGAAATTCCCGGGAGTATATTTCCGTTTCATGAACACTTCTTCTGAACACAGTCAAATAGACAAAGTTGTGTCTTCCATTCAAGCTTTACTACCTTTCTTCAGCACGCCCGTCTTTGAAAGTTACCACATATAATGGATTAGGATCATTTTGATTACCTTTCTGAGTGATTGCAATCTATGATGAATGAATGAATGAACGGAAGACACAACTTTGTCTACTTCACAGTGTTCAGAAGAAGTAATCACAAAACGGGAATATACTCCCAGGAATTTCGTCAAAACACTTCTATGCCTTCTTATGACTTCTTAACAAAGACTTTTTGTATAATACTTATCCATCGTGTTACATTGTTATATTCTTATGTGTCAATACATATGCATTGTAGCACTTTGTTTGGCAGCTTCCTTGTTTTTCTGTTTATAGTTTCATTATAGCTGTGACATTCATTTCTGTACACCGGCCCAACAAAGTGCCATTTATGTCAGATCCATTCCTCATAACGAATGAGTTTGACACCAATGGCTTACAGCAAGCAATACATAGTAGTATAGACCACAGTACCTAAAAATTTATCCAAGCAATTTTGTGGATCTCCTGGTATTGAGAGCCAGTTTGGTGTAGTGGTTAGGAGGGCAGACTGTAATCTGGGAAAACCAGGTTTGATTCCCCACTCCTCCACATGCAACTACTGGTGTGACCTTGGGTCAGTCACAGTTCTCTCAGAGCTGTTCTCTCAAGGGCAGTTCTCTCAGAGCTCTCTCAGCCCCACCCACCTCACAGGGTGTCTGTTGTGGGGAGGGGAAGGGAAAGGAGTTTGTGAGCCGCTCTGAGACACCTTTGGGTAGTGAAGGGTGGGGTATAAATCCAATCTCCTCTTTTTTCTTTTGTCCATCCTAAATCTGCTGCCCATCAGCTTCATTGGATGCCCTTGAATTCTATTTTGGGATAGGGAGATATGGCAAACCCAGGTTCGAATATACACTCTAGCCATGGAAGCTTGCCGGATGTCCTTTGGCCAGTCACACACCCTCAATCTAACCCGCCTCCCGGAGTTGTTGTGAAGATAAAACAAAGGAGAGGAAAATGATGTCGGCTGCTTTGGGTTCCCACTAGGGAGAAAGGTGGGGTGTACACAAAGAAAATTAACTCAAAACTTGGATGCTGGCTGCTACAAGACCCCCCTACCATCCGAACAATTTTTTGGTTTTTCAGATTCGCTTCTCGGTGCTACAAAGCGACAGACATTTCTCACGCTCTATCTGTGTGCCAGGAAACCGTAGGCTCACCTTCAAGATTTTAACAACTACTTTTTCATTATTCGTGATGTTGATGGCTTCGAAGACTTCGCTGTATTTGCCTCGGCCCAGTTTCCGGACTAGTTGGTAATCGTCTTGATTTCTGCAAAGGCCAAGACAAGAGAGGCCATTACGCAAGGCAAAACACACACAACACGAGTTATATACCAAGACAGCCTGAATGCATCACCAAAATTTACAAATTTTGGAATGGATCCCATCAATCTTTTCCACTGATAGAAGCATCTCCCTTTCACACAAGTAGCCTAACCAGTTTGGTGTAGTGTTTAAGTGTACGGACTCTAATCTGGGGGAACCGGGTCTGATTCCCCACTCCTCCACTTGCACCTGCTGGATGACCTTGGTCAAACCTAGTTCTGATAACAGCTGTCCTTGAAAAAGAGCAGTTTCTGTCAGAGCTCTCTCAGCCCCACCTACCTCACAGAGTGTGTCTGTTGTGGGGAGGGGAAGGGAAAGGAGTTTGTAAGCCGCTCTGAGACCCCTTTGGGTAGTGAAGGGCAGGGTATAAATCCAATCTCTTCTTCTTCTTTTACCTCAAAGGGTGTCTGTTGTGGGGAGGGGGAGGGAAAGGAGTTTGTAAGCTGCTCTGAGACTCCCTTGGGTAGTGAAGGGCTGGGTATAAATCCACTATCTTCTCCTCTTCTTCTAACCCCATAATACAACTGAGGGGAAGAAGTGTATTGTGCTGATATAAAAAATGGTTTCACAAGCTATTAGAAAGAATGGATGGGATCCTGTGTATCTGCTCAGCTAATAGCAGTACTTTTCTGCAGCCGATGGCTTAAGAACATCAGCCCTTAATGGAACAGACCAGTGGTCCATCTAATCCAGCATCCTGTCTCATTCTGTGACCAACCAGTCCCTCTGGAGATCCAGCAACAGGGCAGAGAGGCCGAGGCCTTCCTAAGAACATAAAAAGAGCCCAGCTGGATCAGGCCAATGACCCATCTAATCCAGAATCCTGTCCCACGTAGCGGCCAACCAGTTCCTCTGGAGGGCCAACCACAGGGCAGAGAGGCCAAGGCCTTCATAAGAACACCAGAAGAGCCCTGCTGGATCAGACCAGTGAGGGTCCGTCTAGTCCAGCCTCCTGTCTCACACAGCGGCCAACCAGTTCCTCTGAAGGTCCAACCACAGAGCAGAGAGGCCGAGGCCTTCAGAAGAACACCAGAAGAGCCCTGCTGGATCAGACCAGTGGTCCATCTAGTCCAGCATCCTCTCTCACACAGTGGCCAACCAGTTCCTCTGGAGGGCCAACCACAGGGCAGAGAGGCCGAGCCCTTCATAAGAACACCAGAAGAACCCTGCTGGATCAGACCAGTGAGGGTCCATCTAGTCCAGCCTCCTGTCTCACACAGTGACCAACCAGTTCCTCTGGAGATCCAGCAACAGGGCAGAGAGTCTGAGGCCTTCATAAGAACACCAGAAGAGCCCTGCTGGATCAGACCAGTGAGGGTCCATCTAGTCCAGCCTCCTGTCTCACACAGCGGCCAACCAGTTCCTCTGGAGGTCCAACCACAGAGCAGAGAGGCCGAGGCCTTCAGAAGAACACCAGAAGAGCCCTGCTGGATCAGACCAGTGGTCCATCTAGTCCAGAATCCTGTCCCACGTAGCGGCCAACACGTTCCTCTGGAGGGCCAACCACAGGGCATAGAGGTCGAGGCCTTCCCCTGATGCTGCCTCCTGGCTCTGGGAGTCAGAGGTTTAGTGCGTCTGAATTCCCCTCATTCCCCATGGCTAGTAGCCACTGATAGACCTCTCCTCCACGAATCCATCTAATCCTCTCTTAAAGCTGTTTACTCCTGCGGCTACCACGGCATCCTCTGGCAGCAGATTCCATATTTTTAATCACAAGCTGGGTAAAGAATGCTTCCTTTCATTTGTCCTGAACCTACTGCCCATCGGTTTCATTGGATGCCCAAGAGTTCTAGTCTTTTGGGAGAGGGAGAAAAAAAGTTCCCTTTGTCAACATCTCTCCGCACCATGCATAATTTTAGAAACCTTTCTCATCCCTCCCCTTAGCCGTCGTTTTTATTAACTGAAAAGTCCCGGACTCTTCAAGCCTTTCCTCATAGGGAAGGTGCTCCAACCCCCTAATCATCTTGATTAGGCTCCTCTGCTGGAATGAGAGAGCCTCTTGGATCAGTCGAGCGGGAAGGGAGCGCCACCGTTAGTGGAACAAAACTGCCAGTCCCAGCCCCTCAAGCTGCCAAGACTTCACTCTGCATAAACTATGCAGATTAATAACTTATGCATAATACAATAACTTACGCAAGGTGATATTTTGTACCTGTATTTATTGACACTGATTGGTGCTCATTAGCATTCATGTTTTGTATAGTATTGTAAGAAGCATGTTTGTACATTTCTGCAAATTAAAAAGCAATTTAAAAATGCCTTCAAGGCAAGGTCTAGTATGAAATGGCTCTAGAAAGGGAGAGGGTTATGAAATGCAGCCGACTTGCTTTCACACACACTGAGTAATGCACTTTCAATCCACTTTGCAACTGGATTTCACTGTGTGAGATGGCGACATCTGCTTGCAAACGATGGCTATCAGACAGACCACAGATGTTCTACCACCGGAGGGCTGTTGTTGTTTAACACACACAGCCTGTGTGATTCTGCATATATATGCCTCAATGGATCCACAAGGATTAAGCTAACACTAAATATTATGAAAATACAAAATTTATTCAGGTGTACACATTTTAAAAAATAGACTCATTAAAATATTCACATACAGAAATAAAAAACTTCTCAATATTCATACATAGATGGGTTAGTGCAGTGCAACTGAACCAAACGCTTTTCGGCCCCCCAAAGGGCCTTCCCCAAAGGTCCTTCCTCAGTGGTCACAATCCAAATTTCAAACTTGACATACATTCAAAAAAAATTTCAACATAAGATGTTAAATACATATGCAGTATAAGGCCAGATGTTGTATCCTAAATACTGATTACAAAAAGAAAAAGAGGGAAAAGGGAAACAAAGAAAAATTCATTATAGTTTCCCGTATATACATTATTACTAATTGAAAAATAATATATACTAAAAATAAAAATTACCTTATATATTTGTTTATTATTGGCCTACTAACCTGGTATCACAAACTTGTGTGAGTTGAATGTATGTCACTCCATCCTGTACAAATTCTGGTATAAGCTACTATACTGGCCACCATATATAGCATTACTAGGGTGATGCAATCACCAATTAACTGGACATGTCAATCAGGAGAGATGCAAAATAGGAGGAGGGGCAGAAGGAAGGGCAACCATGAAGTGAGGATGAGAGAGGGATTTTGTACTGACAATTACTTCAAATATTTCTAAACAGCCCGTACAGATTTTATGCAAAGAACAGGTCCAGATAATCACAAATAGCAAGTCCAATTCACTTCCTCAGATAATTGGTGATTGCCTTGGATGCCCTTCCCCTCCCCACAACAGACACCCTGTGAGGTCAGCGGGGCTGAGAGAGCTCTGACAGAAATGGCTCTTTTTCAAGAACAGCTCTTATCAGAACTACAGCTTGCCCACGGTCATCCAGCAGCTGTAAGTGGAGGAATAGGGAATCAAACCCGGTTCTCCCAGATTAGAGTCCGCGCACTTAACCACTACACCAAACTGGCTCTCACTGGTAGACCAATGATCTGATTTGGTATACAACAGCCTCATGTGTAACACTGTTAAACAGGACTCTGAAATCTTACAAGCCAAAGACGCTCCTACTTGGCCACTAAAACTAACATGGACACTTACCCCCATTCAACCACATGTGATTCATAATCCCAGTATTCGCGGGGTCTGTGTGTATTTACGTCTGTGTAAACTCTGGCCCTGCTTGGCACCGGTCCCGACATGTCTGACAGATTGGCAGGCCAAGCTAGCTTAAGGATCCGACTTCAGCGTCGCTTCCAGCGTCAGTGCAAAACGTGGGAGGTGGGGTGGGCGAGCCTCGGAGAGAACTCGGAATCTTCCAGCTGTAAAAAACCCCAAAACACGGAAACGTTAAAAGACGAATCTTGAGCCAATCAAGAAGTCAATTTTCTGTACTAAAGAAGACAAGGGCGGAAGCAAACAAAAAAGATGGAAGGCCCATTATTTTAATGTAGAAATGTTCTAATAAATAACAAAATAAATAAAATTGTGGCAAGGCACTTTCCCACAGGCAAATTCAGTCCACATCAATGCTCCATCTAAGCTGTGGAGTCTTGTGAGCCAAAATTCTGCTTTCTGAGCTACTGGCATTAAAGCTGTGAGCGAGCGATTTGGCTGCTGCATAAATTAAGTGTGCTCTGGGGCCATCCTTCCTGAGCTAAGAGAAAAATGTGTGTGGGCTGGAGGCTAAAAAACTGTGAGCTAGCTCACACTAACTCAGCTTAGAGGGAACACTGGTCCAAATGCCTCTTGATACCAGAACTTCCAAGTAGGGAAGTGCATTCAGATATTTCCGGTCCGAATAATTATCCAAAAAAAACCTTTTTAGTGTTTTCCAGATATATTCGGGTGTCCAGATGGTATGCGGGATTTTCCAGGACACTAGCTAACAGATCCTGAAAAATTCTGGAAAAATTCAAGAGTAAACCAGGAATACAAGGAGGCCAATGGTTTAAAGTTCCTGGGACTGTTAACTCTTTAATTCTACTGTCGGTCTCTTCTTGCGAAGGCTCAGTATGAGCTTGCCAGGTTAATTTGGCTTGGATTCTGTGCCCGGTCTTGCAACAAGTTGGGTTTGCCTTGGATGCCCTGGTTCAACACTAGGGTATCACAGCACGCAGCGGTTGCAATGAAAACGTCCAATGGATTTCGAATGACAGTCTCTGGGCCCAAATACACTGCTCAGGGACCGGAACGACAGCCTCTAGAGTGGAATCAAAAAACCCCGGGACTCGAATCAATGCTCTGGGATTGGAACGACAGCCCCCAGAGTGGAAAGATGGGGCCCTGGGAGTAACAAAAGTATTCTGGAAACAGCACCCAGAATGGAGTGACTTCCCCCGTGACTAGCAAAAGTGTTCTGGAACTGGAATGAGAGCCTTGACAGAACAGCTCTGATAGAACTATGGCTTGCCCAAGGTCATCCAGCAGCTGCAAGTGGAGGAGTGGGGTATCAAACCTGGTTCTCCCAGATTAAAGTCCGCACACTTAACCACGACACCAAACTGGCTCTGAAGCTGGGATTCTAATCTGGTACTCGTGTTACTGGATATGGATACATGAGATATTGCAAAAAATGTTAGATACAACTATTCCATTTGTACCAGAACTGTTTTTATTAAATATCATTCCAGAGAATTTTAAGAAAGCAGATACCCATATGATTGTACATGTAATAACGATGGCTAGGATTTTGTATGCAAAGTATTGGGAAAAAGAAGTCCCGTTTAAAGAAGAAATAATCTATAAATCATTGGAGACAGCGGAAACGGACAAACTAACTTTACAATTACAAGATAAAAAAGAAGAAATTTTCGAAAAGAACTGGTTAAGACTCTATAAATGGATTGAGGACTCTCTCACAAAATGTGTAATATAATATTTAAAACATAAGCTCTATTTCTTAAAATGTTACACTGATCCAGGTGCATAACAGAAAGATTCTATCTATCTATGCAAAGTAGTTATAATGAGTGCAGACTCCATATTTGTTGTATGTTAGTCTTTCTCTCTTCGTGGTTGCTGTCTTCTTTTCTTTCACTTTTGAAAACTAATAAAACTCTTTATTAGATTATTATTATAATCTGGTACTCATGCGTGGCTGAAGCCCAGTGTGTATTAGGCAGAGGTCCTTCCCAGACAGGTTCCTAGAGATGACGGGACTGAACCGGGAACCTTCTGCATAAATCGCATGTGCTTCACCACCAACCTGTGATGCGGAATGCTACATGGGAAGCCAGGAACCCCCAAAGCTACCAGCAAAGCCCGGATACCATCTGCAATCTAAGGATGCCTATTATACCCACAATCCCACAACCAGGGGTCACTGGGTGTGTGTGTGTGGGGGGGGGAGGTAGTTGTCAATTTCCTGCACTGCGCAGGGGGTTGGACTAGATGACCCCTTCCAACTCTATGATTCCAAATGCCACCAATTAAGTAGTGGGTGGGGTACATGACACGACAGCAAAAATCCACCCACCAGCGTGGAACTTTGTTCTCCACATCTCAAAAAGGATGTTATAGCATTGGAAAAAGTGCAGAAAAGTGCAGCTAGAGTGATAGAAGGGCTGGAACACTTTCCCTATGAAGAAAGGTTAAAACGCTTGGAGCTCTTTAGCTTGGAGGAACGACGGCTGAGGGGTGACATGATTGAGGTTTATAAGATTATGCATGGGATAGAGCAGGTGGAGAAAGAGGTACTTTTTCTCCCTTTCTCACAATACAAGAACTCCTCGAAATTGCGGAGCAGTCGGGTTAGAACGGGTAAAAGGAAGTCCTTCTTCACCCAAAGAGTGATTGACACGTGGAATTCACTGCCACAGGTGGTGGCGGCGGCTATAGCCGGAGGGTATAAAACAGTGAGCTAGGTCACACTAACTCAGCTTAGACGGAGCACAGGTCGGAAGCTACTTGACAGCACTCAACACACTCACAAAAAAAAAACCCCAAGACAGAATCATTATATAATACCTATCAAGAATGCTTCCAATTTCCTATAATCAGTCATTCTTGCCAACGCTTTCATAAAGTGCAAGCCAGTAGGTTTTGATTTTACAGACAGGTTAACCACATAGGAAGGTAGGTGCCCAATTAACTCACAAAAACTCCAGAAGAAGCAACTCCATCCAAGACATGTTATCTAAGTGCCTTACACTTTCTCTCTGAACCCCAAACTACAAATATTACCATTAACTCACTACATGACTCTGTTGCAAAGAAGCCCGATGACACAGCAGAAAACTGACACGCCTCGTTCAGTACTGTCTAATACAGCTGACCACAGTTCACTTAGTGCCTCAGGCAGAGAAATCTTTCCAAATACTACTGCCCAAGAGCCTTTAACTGGAGCTGCCTTCTGCATGCAAACCATATGCTCTGACACTGAGCCACAGGCCATTTTGTACCTCGTTCTTTTTCTTTCTTTTTTTAATAACTCTTTTTATTTAGATTTTTACAACTATGTTGAGATTCACTAACAGTTATTGTGTTAATAATAACCACATTTTCCATAAACATTTCCATTTTTCCAAATTAACATCCAAAATTGTTTTACATAACTCATAATACTTTAATATAATTCAATACATCAAAACAGTGCGCTTACTCTTCTATTTTCCCTACCTAATCCTTATATTGGCTAGCCTATCTCTCATCTATTTTTATTTTCTTTAAATTTAGCCACTTATATATTTCTCCCCATTTTATCCAAAACTCATCTTCCGATTTCTGCTTCAATTCCATGTTTATTCGATCCATTTCTACTATTTCCAGTACTTTAATTTTTATTTCCTTAATTGAGGGAATAATATTTGATTTCCATTTTTTTGCGATCAGGTTTGCAATCAGGATTGTTACTGCTGTTATTATTTGTATTATTATATGTCTATGTTTTTTCTTTATTCCATCCGGAATCATGTTTAATAAATATATCTCGTTCTTAAGAGCAAGGGTAACCAGGCAGGAGCAGAGAATTCCTGTACCCAAACTCTTGTACGAAAGAAGGAATTGGGGCTGCTTCATCGTGTCAGGCAAGGGTAAGAGAAGCACCTAGCAAATGTCCCTCTTCTCTAGAGCTATTCACAGTAAAGGAGCTCTATGCCCCTCCATCTTCTGTCTCTCTTGCCATATAAAATGGTGGCAGAAGCAGAGAGCAAAACAACAGACTGGGGTGCAAACCACTTCAGAGTTCTGAGCTACCAGCTGAACAGCAGTGGAATAGGCTTCCTTGGGAGGTGGTGGGCTCTCCTTCTTTGGAGGTTTTCAAGCAGAGGCTCGATGGCCATCTGACAGCAATGCTGATTCTGTGGACTTAGGCAGGTCACAAGAAGGGAGGGCAGGAAGGGTTGCCTCAGCGCTTAGTTCTCGTGGCCCTTTCTTACACGCCCAGGGAAATGCTGATCGCCACTCTGGGGTCCGGAAGCAATTTTTCTCCAGGCCAGTTTGGCCGGGGATCCTGGAGGCTTTTTGCCATCTTCAGGGCATGGAACAGGGGTCACCGGGGGTGCAGGGGAGGTTTTATGAACTTCCTGCATTGTGCAGGGGGTTGGACTAGATGACCCTGGAGGTCCCTTCCAACTGTATGATTCCATGACAAGGATTTCTTCAAAAGGTTTCGCAAGTAAGACAATATTTACCGTTCTTCCAAAATCCCAGCCACAGAAATCAGTTTAATATTTAGATTTGCGTCCAGTAGCACCTTAAGACAACAAAAAGTGTTTCAAGGTATCCTTGTCAGTCTCTAAGATGTTACTGGACTCAAATCTAACTGTCCCGCCAAAGACCAACACTGCCATCCCTCTGAAACGAGTTTACTATTTGTTTTCAAAACTAGCATTAAGTATCGCTGAATCTGAAGAACTGTGCGTGCCCGTGAACGCTTATACTTTGAATAAAACTTTTGTTTTAGGTGCTGCTGGACTCGAACTTTGTTCTCCTGCTTCAGACCAGTACGGCGACCCCACCTGAAATTAAGTTTTACTGTACCACTAGAAAGAAGTACTTTCCTCCCTTTCTCACAATACAAGAACTCGTGGGCACTCCATGAAATTGTTGCGCAGTCGGGTTAGAACGGATAAAAGGAAGTCCTTCTTCACCCAAAGAGTGAAGGACACATGGAATTCACTGCCACAGGAGGTGGTGGCAGCTACAAGAATGGACGGCTTCAAGAGGGAATTAGATAAGCATATGGAGCAGAGGTCCATCA